GGGTGATTGGTATTGCTCATGGTAAAGAGGTAGCTACTGTAGTGGAACCCAAATTCGAAGCTCCCTAAACCTCGTTCGTCACTGTTGACCTCCAGTACTGCAAGCAGTCGTGCATCACACTCGGCGAAGACTTCGTGCTCGGCACTGGACCCTCTGGTCTTATTTCCTTTAGGGTGTGGGATTTGGTGTCTTAAACCAGGTCCTTACCCCCTTGGGGTTTAGGGTTTAGTTTTACGGTTCAGGGTCCTCAACCTTTTAGGTTGTACTGTAGGGTTGAGGGCTTGGGGAGGGGCATTTAGAATGGCTTCAAGGTGAGCTGAGAAGCTTTTTGGGATGCCAAGACCCGATGTCTATCGCTGCATTGTGCAGGCGAAGGTGTAACGATTGCGATTCACCTCGCCTTTCCGTTGCCTTGCTGTGTGCCGGTCGTGTCAACTACTGCTTAGGTTTGTTGGGTTCAAATCCTCAGAGACTCCAATATCCCTGAATTGCGGAATATACCTTAAATCATATTAGGGATCTTACCATACCAGTAAGTTAAGGTTTATTGCTTAGTTAGGGGATATTGGAGTCTCCGGGTCTTCTGATGCCTCTATATGCAAGGATCCAAAGTCCTCCTTTGTGTGAGGTCAGCACAGTCGGCAAGGTGCCATAGTGGCGCAAGCAGAGCGAGGCTGTTTCCTACGGAGGCCTCAGGCAGGTCATATCATCCAACGCGTAATACAGGGGCCTTATAAGATAATTACCTATACCATTGTGGGGGCTCTTTGCTATAAAGTATAAAAAAAAACCCAAAACCCTATTGTGATTATTAAGGCCCCTATATTAGTCAGTGAGACATGGAACTGGGAAGAGCCGCTATCCTTGGGATTCAAAGGCTCGCTGAGCTCTCTTCTTCTACCGCCACAGTTGACGATCGAAGGACGTCCACGATCTAGCAGCGAACGCTCTGTTGCACATTTATGAAACCGAAAAGCTATGAACTCCCAAACCCCTAAACCCTAAACAGAGCCAGACCTGAACACCTCTCTTCCTGCGGTGTATAGCTCTTCGGGTTCAGGGTTTAGGCTTTAGGGTTTAGGGCTTCAGAGCTTGGGTCCTTGGCATGTGCGAACCGCTTGTGTTCTTAGAGTTTTCCTCACCACCAAAGATATCGCCATGAACATTCTTGTTGAAACGTTCCTTTCAGGGTTCTAATTCGAATTCCATAATTTTCATATGGTCGAGGGCTTGGGGTTTGGGCTTTGGAGTGAAAGCTCATTGGAGACACCGTCCTGATTTGCAGAACCTTCGGCTTCTGACACCTCTAAACCCTAAACCCCGTGTATGCGCAGTCATGAATCCGAATTCCGGACCCTAACTAATCCCGATCCCAATACTTCCGGGCCCGGAACCCCCATACCCCAGGCCCCTCTGCTGCCCAAAAGTCTATCGCCCGAACGCCTCCGAAGTCTCGTCGATGAGGAAATACTCCGAATCTCTACATTAGTATTCGCGCGAGTGTCTTGTTGCGGGCGGTTGAAGAAAGAGCGACATTACATTCGTTCAGTCGAATTCCTGTCCCGGCCACACCCCGCTTCCGACGGAGCCAGAAAGCGGCTTTGAGGCTTGGGGTTGTGGGTTATCCTGAACCCCAAACCATAAGCCCTAAACCCCAAACACTAAAGCCAAAAACCTCTGAACTGATTGTCTGGGGGCAAAGAGGGAATCGTCCTACGAGTTCTTTCGGCTCCTGTTCCACCCGGAGGAGTTGCTGTCAGAATCCATGTGGGAGTCTCCCCAAATTAAGTGTACTATTGGGGGCCTTAATACAAAAACTAGGATGTTGGGGTATGTGGTACAATACCAAAAAAAAGGAACCCTCAAAAAATATAACCTAGGTAAATTCTTTAGGCTCCGTACATTCGTGTCTGGGATCCTGGGGTCTCGAGTTCAAGATGTTCGGGCTACGGTTTAGGGTTTAGGGTTTAGGGTTTAGGGTTTAGGGTTTAGGGTTTAGGGTTCAGGGTTCAGGGAGGGGATTGGGGTTCTGAGATTTCGCGAAGGCTCAGACTCTTCACTTCATGCCACGAAAGATCAAATGATGTAGGGGCACATTAAGGATCCTTCCTGAAATCCAACCCTGATTCGGGCAAGCTGGCAGACTTCGCCCAACTTGCCAAAATCCGATCCTTAAGCTGGGTTTAGGGTTCAGGGCCCCTAAACCCTAAACCCTCAACAATAATGACATCATGGATTGAGGGTTTAGGGCTTACGGTTTGGGTTTCAGGGGCTGAATACGTGTTTATTGTAGCAATTCTTCAGCAAGCCCCGAAGAGGCACCTGCACAATATCAGAGATGCATGGGTACTACTGAGGACACCTGCTGATTTCACAAACGTTGCGCAAGACAGGGACAGCCTGTCAAACCGTCGGAAGCATGTTCTGGGAGTGATGTGGACAACAGGGCTTAGCAGAACAGAACGACTTTCGTGAAGGCAGGTGTGGTGAAGGAAGGAATCTGACAGAAGGAGGCCTGACAAACCTGACTCTTGAACTTCCAGGGCTAGTCAGGAAGCAACCCTAATCACCGTCATTACCATCTACACGCGCAGTACTCGCCCATGTTCAGCGGTTAACTGCTATCACATTAGGATGTAGGGAATGTTCTAAGCCTTGCACATACCCATCTGAAGCATATCCCGGATATGTATGCAACTATGCAGATATTTATTATACATGGCACGATTGCATGCCATGAACATATACCTGAACCTGTGCATACATGCATACACCCATTCATCCGCACATCCATTGCACGTACATACATACACTCGTGCATGTGTGTATACACATGTAACATGTATATATATATATATATATCTATATACACATACACACATCTCATGTACATATACACACACACAAACATCCGTCTACATATACACATATACACGAAACTCAACTGTAGTCAGCTAGCCGCTTGTATTTATGTGGGCTGCGCCCGCAAAAAAAAGTTCTCCTATTGTAGCACAAACCCGCGCAGAGCTCCCAGCGCCATGGCTACCCACATCTGTGGTGGGATTTGCTCCTATTTTGGCAGCATTTTCAGCAACCTCCGTGGCTCCCTCAAACCCGAAACACGAAACCCGAAGTGCGAAACCCTAGACCCTAAACCCTTCTTCACCCACCTCCAGCTTTCACACTTCGATGCTCCCCTGGAGTAGGCCTTGAGACGCCAGCTGCTGTGACGTCTTGGCACGAAAAAAGTCCCAGGGGTTTAGGGCTTAGGGTAGGTCTTGGAGGGTGTAGTTCAAGTAAGTAACAAAATCAATATCAGGTTACTCCTCCAAGCACCTGCTTAGATTAACCTTGGTGTGAAGACTGACTCAGAGGAGACTGCAAGTTTGCATCTTCATGCAGTCATCGATCAGCGACCGGCCCACCATAGCTGATAGCTCGTCAGCACTACGCACACAAGGGCCAGTCGCCCAATCTTCGTCCCACACATTCACATTTAATGATGCAGGGCAGCCCTCGTCTGCAAGTCCTGACGTCTCACACCCGCTATAGACCACAGTCTGCAGCCTCTGGACCCCCCCAAACCCCTCTTCAGGAACACTTCTATAGAAGGCACCTTTTCGAAAGCGGGTGTTCCAACAGTTGTCTGTACTATACCAGCTCAGAACTTTATAGACTGTCATAAGGAAACCCTGTCATTTACCATAGATCCCTACTGTTATGGCAGCATGACCTAAGTAACCTTAAACTCCTTAGTAGGACCCAGTTTACGGTTCTTGCATCTCACCACCTAGGCGGTCGGCAGGGCGGTCGCAAGCTCAGCACCGGATTAGCGCTCTCTTCTCTTGGCAGTTGCAAGGGCTCTGTTAAGAATATACACATACAGAACACCCAAAAAGGTACCCTACCACTATGTGGGTCAAGAAGGGGCTGTTTACAGGGGTTTGCTTTTTAGATCCTTCCGGGGCCTTGGATGAAAGGGAAATGGAGCTGCGGCACCCGCGGATCGGGGTCAATGCTTCTTTGGGCACTGTTGGCTTTGTAGGCGGGCCTACCTATAGTCTCCATTGTAGTTCCTTTTTGGGGATACCTTATAAAATCCTTAGTATATAATTGGTTAAACCAAAAAAAGGAACTACAATGGAGACTATAGGTAGAGTACAAGGGAACTACGTCAAAAGCGCGTCTCATCTATAAGCATGAGATGGAAGCCGCCAGGAAACCCAGAAAAGGACCTGCTGAAGATATCCCTCCTCGCCGCCATATACTTGGGGCCTGAAGCCACCAACCCTAAACCAAACCTGTACCCCAAATCCCCAATTTGAACTCTAAATCCCAAACCTATACCCTAGACCCAAAACCCTATGTAACCTAAACCAAAGTGGAGAGTACCGGCAATGTGGAAGCTTTATGTGAGCTCAGTGGTTTAATCGCCTTGTTGGGAATCATAGGGCCGAACAAGGGGAATATGGGGGGCCTGTATAGGATTCTCGTTTCAAAAAAATTGAGTGAATCTTTATGAAAGCCCTGTCTGAAAACTCTACAAAAGGCTATCATGGGATCTGCGAGCCCTTTGTCATGGGATCTGCAAGGCTTTAGACTACTCTCCGAGGCGAACCCGGGCTTTGGGGATCGACTTCCCTGCGCCTCGCAAGTCATGAGCCGGGGATGGGGGTAGGTTGACGGTATTTTTGCTTGCGGGTTTTCGTTTAGAACGTAAACGAGCAAGTATATAATCCAAGATCCAGTTAGTTGGGCTGCCGGGCTATAGGGCATACTTTGCAGTCAGGGATGATCTTACTTAAAGTCCATATCATAACTGTAATATACACCAAAAACCTATTCTGATGTTTAAAGGCTCCTATGCTAAACCCGTATAGTAACCTGTCTAGACCCCTTAATTAAAGAACCCTTGAACTAATCTCTATTCGTCTTACTAATGCCCCTATATAACAAAAAACTTCCACATCTGCCCCCTGAGCCCTTGGCTGTCAGCGCTCTCAGTACAGCCGCTTGTGTTTGGTCGCCTTCCGGACGGATTTCTGCAGTGTCTTGTTCTGATGCCGCAGCCTGGGCGCGCTCTCAAACCAAACCCCCAGGAACCTAGGCGTAAACAAGGGCTCCCTTGTTTGGTATTGGGCAGTTTTAGAGGGAACCTAAGACCACAAGAATGGGGAAAAAGGCCCGCTGGGAGACCTAGCAAATCTAGAGTAATGTATGGGGTCCTTGATAATTAGAATAGGGTTTCGGGGGCTCCTTGTTATATTAACAGTATAATATACCCCAAGCCCTATTCGAATTATTAAGGCCCCTATATTGGGGATCACTGGTTTATGAGGTCGGCGGTTGTTCGCTCTCTTCGTAGGGGTGTCGTCTCAAAATTCTATTGATTGGTGGGATTCGTTTCCTTGTTTGTTTGCGCTTTACGGACTACCCTAAACCCAGGGTTCATCAGGGTTTATCATGAACAAAACAATCAAGACATGTATGTATGTATATATATATATGTAATTAAATAAATAAATAATTAAATAAATAAAAATATATATATATATATATATATACGTATATATTCGGATCCTGTCAGGAATCAAGGCATCCAGAAGAAGGAGCTGCAAGGGAAACGATAGGTATAACAAGAGGAGATGAGGTGCGAAGAGGTCACAGCTGAAGAAGGAACCATAACAGCAAACTCCATGAAGCAGATAATGCCATACGGTTTAGGGTTTAGGGCATTTAACCTCAGGGAATATACACATATATATACACATATATANNATATATATATATTTATATATGTATCTATCTACAAAGAGCTTAGAGGTCACCTACTCTACTACTAAGATACCCTCTTCTTCCATGGTACGCTTGCCACCAATCGCTTAAGAATGGCCAAAGTAGGCTCAACTGCAGGAGCTCCGGAACTTTAGATTCGAAGAGTAGCTATAGCTTCTTTGTTGTGGCTTAAGCAGAAGCTAACTTGCATTTAGGATCCTCTCAGGTACC